TTTTTTTTTTTTTAAATAAAAAAAAAAAATTATTACAAGACAAAAAGATCCATACTGCAAAATGCTGAAGCACAGCAGTGAACCCGAGGGGGCCGGATGATAAGCAAGTAATGCAGCGGTATTAAGACCCACAGAAATGGCAGGATAATAATTCCAGGTCTCAAATCAGAAGTCGGGGGCATCCTAATCTACTGAGTTTAACCACTTCAGATAATAAATTCTGTTTGAGCGGTAGACAAAGAATCATGTTTAATTTACTGCTATTATCCATCTCAGGGTTCCCCGAATACACATATATTGGGGCACACTGTGTAAAAGCAGCTTTTGGTACAAGAGCACTGGGGACAACCAGACAGACTGGTAGAGACTAACGCACACACACACACTCTCTCTCTCTCTCTCTCTCTGTCACACACACACACAGCTCAATGTTGTTCCTAAACACACATCTGATAGCCGTCAGACTGGGTGAAGGACTAACAACCAGGCGATCCAAACTCATGCCAAATACTTGCCAACCATTTACGCTTCTTTTAAACAAATAACATTCACACCATCGGCTCTTACATTTATAAATGTAACTTCTCACGCTGACTTGATCACACGTTACGCTTTATCTATACAAGAGTTCAAAGTATTAGAAGTCGTAGGACCACTGCCTTTCATCCTGACGTTTCCTATCATGTGCTGACAACAGTATATCTACACTGCAGAACCATTCATTAGCTTAAAAACGGAGAAAATGATCAGAGAACATTAAAAAAAAAAAACAACATATGAACGACTCATCAGCCATCATTCTGCGGAGGCAACATTCAACAGGTTTAGACGCGCGTTTGCCTGTGTGGATCAAAGTGTGACGGTGTGATGAAAGTCAATAAAAAGAAACCTCTACATTACGACGACGCCCGACACCAAACCGTGGAATATAGGCTGAGAGGAATATGCATAATCGCCTGTTAAGAACTATGATGAGAAAGGTCCCAGGTGTGTTTACTGTGTGTGTCAAATGACCTTTAACATGGTAACCCGTATCATTTAGACAGCAGCGAAGGAAGGTGGGGGTAAATCCTGATGGGGCCACGTGTCTGGCCCCTCACAGTGGCAGTATTTGACAGTCATCTGTTATCTAAAAGCATCTGTTGACCAACAGTACTGAAAGCTGAGGTTGCACTGATCACAGTAAGTAAATCAGTGACCATATGGTCCTTTGTGTGTGTGTGCTTGAGTAAGTGTGAGGGTGTGTTTGTCCTGCATAACTTGAGTTTCTTCATCACAAAATATCTACTCAAACCTTAAATCCATTGTAGAAAAGCCAGGCTGGCAAGACATGTTCTGTATGAGACAATACATTGTTATTTTGTAATATTACACTTCTGAAAATAAAATGAAAAAAAAAAAAGAAATTAAGAAATATTTTATGTACTGGAATGGAAAGCACCATTTAACCAATATCTGAATCCAGACTATGTCTAGACTCAACTAACCATTTACAAAACCTTTTTTCCAATGTCCTTTACAAAAATCCCTCCCCGCCTTCTTACTGTAACCTATGGCACTGCGTCTTGCACTACTGCTGTTGCCCTTTCGACAACGCCTCAGCCGCGGCCTTCGGACAAAGAAAGGCTCAGGTAGAACCAGTTACAACATTCAATAAACGTTTCTGTGGGGGTCGAGGCTCTGCAGTACGACTAGGACAGGTTGAGTATTGCTATGGGGAGGACCTGCACAAAAAGCAAAAGTTCTGACCAATGTGCAACCATAAGTCAACTTGAATTAAAGAGTTCAACGAGACTGATCTTTGATGATCCATGAAGCCCAGATAATACATATGTTGACTTCCATCAGCAGCTTTTGATGAAAATGAGATACTTTACACCCATCAATGTACAGATTGATCTTTTTGTGTAGCTTTCCTAAGAAAAATGTTCAAGAAAAAAATTCTAGAGGTTGTAAAATCAGTGCACATGGTGTTTAAGTACGGGTCTTACTTAAACACCATGTGCACTGAGTGTGCGTCAGTCTGGTATGTTTAGCTTCACTTGGATCTGTTTGAAAGGAGCCCCCTCACATCAGGGGCCGAGCAACTGAGACTGAGGCAGGACTATGAGAAGAGGAGGAACAAGGCGCGGTGTGGTGTGGGCCTGCAGAGCTGGAGCACAGTTCAGTGGTGCTGAGGGGCTCCGGGGCCTTTATCGGGGGGGGCCATGTGGTGCAGGTAGCTGCTGTCTTCATGCCCACAGTGGTTTAAGGGCTCACTCTTGAAAAGGGCCGGGGGTGGGGGCAGGTGGGAGACTGGGGGCACGGCCAGGTGTGGTGGGGTGAGGTGGGGCGTGTTGCGGTGCGTTTGAGAGGTGTTGCTGGTGTCTTGGTGGGGTGGATGGTGAGAGGGGTTCAGTGGAGCTGACATGGGAGAACGTGTGTCCCACGGGGCCGCGCGGAGGCATGGGCCCTCCTGTCGGGCTGAGGCCCAGGGGCCGAGGTGGTGGCCGGGGTGGCAGCTGAGGGGCGGGACCGGAAGAGAGGAGAAGAGGAGAAGGTGTTGGCAAGATGCGGACAGGCACAGGTGGCGCCGCTGGTCTGCAGAACACGGGGCTGGTGCCCGGAAACACTTCTCTTTGTGTGCTTTGAGCATGTTGGAGAAGCGGAAGCGCTGGCCGCACACTTCGCAGGGGTAGGGCTTCTCCCCGGTGTGGGTGCGGCGGTGGCGCTTCATGTTGGGCCGGCTGGTGAAGCTCTTCCCACAAATCTCACAAATGAAAGGCTTCTCTCCTGCACAGATTCAGAGAATAAGAGAGTGATGTGTGAGGAACACAGAGAGCGTATCCGTTAACAAAACAACTGCGGCTGCACAGGATCAGAGTAAAATCCTTTGTTGTCAAATGTGATGGTTACAAAATTTAAAATAATCGGTTGATTACAGGCCTATAAATGACAAAGTTAACTTTCTTCCCTTTTAATCATTTCCCTCCTCAGAGAGCAACAGTTCTCTTTTTAAAATGCAAATAAGATGCCATCTTGAATTGAGGGTCTTTGCTGTTAACCCACCCACTCCACAGGAAGCTATTACAATTCACACTTTGAGGAGAAGAGATGTGAAAGTGAACAACAGCAGCTCCGTTGGAATGCCGCTCTCATTAACCTCCCTCCATGGAGCCACTGAATGCGCCTGCTACCACCCACACAGCCATCTATTAACAGGCTGCTGAGGGGCTCTGTAGATGCCTTATTCTGGCATGTTATGTGCGAAGCTCCTCCGAACCAACTGAATATCAAAAAGGTGGCAGCCAATGTGTTTGTCTTCTGTAGCTGTACATTACACAAAGAAATCATGAAGAATCTGAGTGCAGTAAACCAAACTTTGGGCGTTTGTGTTTCACATGTGTGCTGCCTATTATAGGGCTCGACTGGGTGTGTCTCCTCCTGCGAGAGGCTAAATTGGTTGCAAGCGGCAGGGAGAGGAGAGGGTAGCGTAATTACACATCACAAATAGAACCGAGAGGGCCAACGGAGAGCTGCGTGTCCACCCACGACGGGCACGGCTGGAGGAAAACGGTGAAGGACGTACAGGCTGCACTGCTCAGTTTGGTCTTAGAAATAGCAATGCAGCAGGGACAGAAAATCAGAGGGATGTAATACAGCATGTGTCTGGGTAGTCATTAAAAGCCGCAATATATGCAAGGCTCCTCTTTGATGTAGAACGTCCCTCTCATTACAAAAACTGAAGTCTCCCAGCTTACCACTATAATGTTCATCTTGGAAAACTCGCATCTTTCCTTTTTTAGGGTGTACGGAGACTGGCTGACTGAGCGCAGCGACACTGTTGTTAAGAATTAAAGTATCTTTATCTATTTAGAATAAAAACAGGACTTTGGACTTCAATTATATCGATTATACATATATAACTATTCCTGTTCTGTGAAGATCAAGCAAAGATTAAAAACATTACCACTTTGTATGAAACGCCACAGACGCTGAGTCATCTTGTTATTTTTTGTAATTTGCTGTGTGATATTTAAATACTGCAGAACTGCCAAACATAGTAGGGATTTTCTGAGTGCTGTCTAGTTCTGTCTAGTTCTAGTCAGTATATAAAAAAAAAAAACTGAATAACTTTTCCTACACCCACAGTTTCTGTGATCCCTTTTAGACTGGGGAGTTGTGTAACTGTAAACGTCAATCAACTTACAAGGAATTCCTATATTTATTCCCATGATAGCAAAGGAATGAATTCTGTTTAAGTTGTTTCTGTTTGACCAGCTTGTGACATTATTGACTGGAGACTCAACCCTGATAGTTCCTGGGCCATTGTAAGCTACAATCTCTGGAACAGGAACATCTCCGTTGGCAGGAACAATAGCTTAGGAACTAAATTTAAACCTAGTTGTTAGTCGCTCTTCCAGTCGCTACATGGGTTAAGTTTATGTCTACAAAGCCTCCCAGTTACTGCGGTCGAAAGAGGTTTCTGCACTTCCCACAAAAGGATCCTGAAGAAGTTCCTGGGGTCAGATAGCAACTGTTCTGTTTGATCGGTGCACTAAGAAACCGAACCTCATTTCTCACCTGTGTGTGTTTTCATGTGCTCATCAAAATACTGTTTCATGTTGAAGTCTTTGCCACACCATTGGCACATGAACTGCTTGTGTCCGATGTGAATGCTCATGTGGGAGCGCAGCTGGTACTTGTACTGGAACCGCTCGTCACAGTTCTACAACAGAGGCATTCAGATAACATCACATACCAGGTCAATACACAGTGCACACAAACAGACACTCTGAATCTTTAGCAGACTTCTCTTTAATTGTTGAAAATCCTGAAATGTTTCCTTTAACAAGTTTAAAACAACGACTCATAACAGATTTACTCCCAATATTATGTATATTCCTGTATCTTTTGTTAAGTTATGTGATTTTATTTACATATAAACTGCTGTCCTATAACAGGACCAGCAAAGTGAGGAGTGTTTTAGTTTTAGTTAATTTCACTATTGGATTTAATCATTTTGTATAACCCAGGAAAATGTTATATATGGCAGAGAAATCTGTTTTCTAGCAGTGTTAACAAGATTTCTGTTAATCCCTAAACCTGATAGAAGGAGGAAGTTTCTCATTTATATGTACATGACGTTAAATAAATGAGGTTACTGTTATTTGGGTGCCTGTAACCTCACTGTGTGTTTGCATTATGAGGCTTTCTTGGTCAGGTCTTTTCCTACAGTCAGATATTTATAATCTCAATGACACCACCTGACTAAAACATCTATGGGGGGGGAAAAAATCCAGCAGCTTCCAAGACCACTGAGGAGAACAGGCTATAGATTACACACACACCCTTAATAGCCATGTAATCATATGTTACAGTATGGGACGACTTCAAACATTTAATTAGAGCAGCTCCACCCACACACACATGTTCCCTGTGTGCTGTCCATTCGAGGAGCTGTACATTAAAAGGCCTCGGGTGGGAGTGAAGCAGCCCATCTGTCAAATTCATGTGAATTCATCAGGGAAGAGATATGATGATCAACTGTAACTAACCCTGTTGAGCAGAAATAAGCTTTGAAATCAAAATGCATCCACAAGAGATGTCTGTTGAAGCCCCAAAACACTGAACGTTTAGTTCTACATTTATCTTATGTTCCAGTTAATTGGTGAACACTGTGTGTGTGTGTGGTTTGCTAATATTTGACATGGTCTGCCTTTTTTCTGTGTATAGCTCAGACAACATAACTGTCCAATGACTATTCAAAACACAGAGCGATGCCCCCGCCTGCTCTGAAAGACAAACTGAGTATAACCCAGTATTTTGTCAGTTATATTCACTTGGCACAGATGCTGCTCTGCTCAAACTAATGAGTAAAAACTACCTTGGAGGTTCCTTTTGAGGCACACAAGGACAAATTCATCAAACCTGCATCCTTCAGTCACTCCACTCAAACAGCCAACTGCTCTTTCAGGACTGAATTCATCTCAAAATAAAGACGTTACTAAAAAACTCCACTGCAGTTTGTCAACGTTACCGGTATATAGGTTCTGACAGATTCTTGTTCAAGGGTGTTTTAAGCAGGAGTGTAAATTAAACCACGACTGACAGGAGGAAAAGTCAATGTTCAGCTCAGAAAATGTCTGGTTGGAAACTGTAGAGTGGAAACGGCTCAGAAAACATGTGAATGCTCGAGAGAAAACAACAGAACAAGAAAAACAAGCTCCCTTTGTGCTTGCACCCAACATGTGGATGGCACTAAATACACATGTACCTGCATTACCGTTCGACCTGTTTCGCCTCGGAGTTTGTTTTTGTTTTTCAGTTCACTTCCAAGCGGAGACAGTCCAGGTCACTAACTGTACGACCTTCTACAAACATGTGTGTCGTCTGTGTAGCATAAAGCTGCTCAATTAATCGAAATGTGATCAAGATTACGATTTTGGGGCCAAACGATCTCAAAACTAATAAAATCTGGGGGAAACGTTTTTTTTTTTTTTAAATTTTCTGTTGT